GAAGGCGAAAGACTTTCTTTCTGGAGGGAATGCACTCCAGTTAATTTTTTTTAGTTAGTATTTTATTGTGTTTAAGGTGAAAGTTTACACAGCAAATTAGGTTCTCATTTAACAATTTTTACACAAATTATTCAGTGATATTGGTTACGTTTTTCACAATGTGTCATTATTCTCATTCATTCCATTCTGGTTGTACCATTTCCAGCACTCTAGTTTCCCTGCCCCCTTACATTCTCATCTCTGCTTTAATTTTTGACCATTTGGTCTTCTATAGATGATTTTTCCTAAAGAAACTCATTTACTCATGGGTGATATTCTTTATTTTATAAGCCAATCTCATAAAATAAATATTTAGCTAAATAAATGTTTAGCTAAAAGATGACCTCAGAGGATAATTTCAGTTTAACATTGAAAGTGTATTACAGGACCGTAGTCTCAGGAAGTTCTCTAGTCTCAACCAGTCCGGAAAGACTGGACTTTTTAAGAATTTGAATGCTGTTCCACATTTCTCTCCCATTATATCAGGATCCATCTTCTGTGGCCCTGATCAGAAAAGGGTAGTAGCTGGGCACCATCTAGTTCTTATGATCTCAGGGGAGATGAGGCCATGAGCTCCAGTTAATTTTACAAACTCCTACTTGGGGTGCTGGTACTAGGGTCCCAGACCAACCTGGTTCTTGATGAAGTGGATCCCAGAGTCAAGGCATTTTCCCTAGGTCCTGGGACTGGAGATGGCCTGAGGTCAGCCCTGAGCTTCTTGTTCCATTATTGACAAAAATCTTTCCAGGTTAAATTTGCCCCAGTCTAAGACACTGGGTTCTGCAGGTTTGACCTCAGACTGTGTGAGATAACATAACTGAACCAAACATTCTGTTCTCTTCTACCCAGTCCTCCGAACATACAGTTCCTTCTGCTTGGAATGTGTCACTCTGCTTCTCAGACAGGTGAATTCTGACTCCTCCTTTAAAATTGAGTCCAAACTTTATGTACTCTGATGCCTACCTTAGCTCCCCTAGACAGAATTAGTTTCTCTATCTTTTGTGCTCCTGGAGGACTTGATTCGGATCTCCATAGCACTATATCCTTCCAAGAAATTTTGGAGGTTTAAAAAATTACAAATTAAGGCATGCTAGTTAAAAATTTGCCCTCCCTCTCTAGAAGTAATTGTTGCTTATTAATTTGAGAATATATATTTTCATACCTTTTTCTTTATGTATGTACATTCTTATAAAAATATAATCATTTATGGTTCTTTATAGCAGCTTGCTTTTTTCACTTAATAAATTATGGACATTCATATATGTTAGCATATACAGATCTACTTTATCCTTTATGCCATTTGGATGTACCATTATTTAACTACTCACAGTTAAGCACTTGAATATTAACTGAAAGGTTGACAGTTTGAACCCCCCCCTCCCCCGGCACCTCTGAAGACAGGCCTGGTAATCTGCTTCTGAAAGGTCACAGCCTTGAAAACCCTATGGAGCAGTTCAACTCTGTACATATGGGGACGCCATGAGTTGGAATTGACTCAACAGTAACTAACAACAACAAGACATTTAGATGGTGTCTTAGTTATCTAGTGCTGCTATAACAGAAATACCACAAGTGGATGGCCTTAACAAACAAAAATTTATTCTCACAGTTTAGTTAGCTAGAAGTCTAAATTCAAGGCACCAGCTCCAAGGGAAGGGTTTATCTCTCTGTTGGCTCTGGGGGAAGGTCCTTGTCATCAATCTTCTCTTGGTCTAGGAGCTTCTCAGCACAGGGACCCCGGGTCCAAAGGATGCGTGCACTCCTGGCTCTTCTTGCTTAGTGGTAATGAGGTCCCACTGTCTCTCTGCTCACTTCTCTCTTTTAGATCTCTAAAGAGATTGGCTCAAGATACAACTTAATCCTGTAGATTGAGTCCTGTTTCATTAACATAACTGCCTCTAATCCTGCCTCATTAACATCATAGAGGTAGGATTTACAACACATAGGAAAATCAGATCAAATTACAAAATGGTGGACAATTATACAATACTGGGAATCATGGCCTAACCAAGTTGACACACATTTTGGGGGGGACACAATTCAATCCATAGCAAATGGTATCTAATGTTTTACTATAGTGAAAAGCCATGCACATTTTCTTATCAGTTGTGAGTCTTTCTGAAGGATAGAATTCCAGAAGTAGAATTATAGTGGACCAATGGGGTTGTATTGTAAGCATTTGGTTCCAAATCTGTCTCCTCCACTACAGCCTCTTGAGGACAGAGACATTGTTTGATTTATTTTTGTATCCCCCTGCATTGTATCTGCAACACTGTAACTGCTCAATAAATGCTTGTTGAATAAGTGAATAAACAAAAACTTTGATGCCTGAAGATTAAGTCAGGTAAACATTCTTAATTTCATATTCAGCTCCTTTTCTGCTCCAAAATTGTGACTGGGTTTGATGATTCCATGTGGGCAAGGCATGGATATAGAGACCTTTCACTATCCCCAGGGCAGGGATAGCTCTATTGCTTAGAGCTGACACCATGGAAGGGTCCAGCCATTTCTTTTGACCTCTAATTCGGAGACTAACTGCTGTCTGCTACTATGAGGCTGCTACCTGCAGCTACTGTTGTGCTGTAATTTCTAAAAAATTTTTTATTCACTACCCACTTGGTAAGGAACCCTAGTGATGCAGTGGTTAAGAGTTCAGCTGCTAACCAAAAGGTCGGCTGTTGGAACCCACCAGCCCCTCCACAGGAGAAAGATGTGGCAATCTGTTTCCATAAAGATTATAGTCTTGGAAACACTATGGGGCTCAACGACAATGGGTTTGGTTTTTACCCACTTGGTGGGATAGGAAGCATGGGTGAATACTGTGTGTACCTGGCATGTAGCAATTTGCAGTATACATTGTAGTATAAGAATGAGAGTCCCTTGTTATTTGTGTTGTTCTCATCTCCTTACATCTGGATAACATAAGCTCTTCCTAATTTGACCTCTTGCCCCAGTCACTCCCCACTTTAATCTATCTTTATCACTGCAAAGTGAATTTTCCTAAAACCCTTCTCCTTTCTCAAATCTTTAGTGGTCCCCATTTCATAAAATGAGTCCCTGGGTGGCACAAACAGTTAAGTGCTCAACTACCAGCGAAAAGGTTGGCTGGGTGAACCCATCCAGAGGTGCCTTTAAAGATAGGCCTGGTGATCTGCTTCCAAAAGGTTACGGTCTTGAAAACCCTGCAGAGCAGTTCTACTCTGCATTCGCAGGGTCACCGTGAGTCGGAATGAACTCAAGGACAACTAACAAGAAAAACCTCCTTAGGCTGACACTTAAGGGTTCCGTGGTGTGACCTCAGTCTATCTTTTGAACGAATCTCCCATGACTCACCTTCTGTTCCTCAATTCAGACAATAGTCTGACCCTAAATGTGCCTTAGTCTTTCCTGTCTCAGAACTCTTGACTGTGCATTTCCCTTCGTCTGAACAAATCTCTCCATTTCTCTCCACCCATCCAAATCGTTCATTCAGCCAGGGCCTTCCCTGCTGGAAAGCTTTCAAACCTTCTCCAGGGGCCTGTTATCTCTCTCTTCAGAATAGGGTGGAACACTCTGTTGACCCCACTCCTTTGACTTTAGCAATCCCACTAGCATTGTGGTTTGGAGCTGTTCTTACTCTCTTCAGCTTTTTTGTGTCTTTGCCTCTACTTAAGGTTTGTTGTTGTTAGGTGCCATCGAGTCGGTTCTGACTCATAGCGACCCCATGTGCTACAGAACGAAACACTGGTCCATCCTGTGCCATCTTCACAATCCTTGTTATGCTTGAGCCCATTGTTGCAGCCACTGTGTCAATCTTAAGGTTTATCTCCCCCAGATTCAGTGTAACATCCGGAAAGGTAGAGATGTGTCCTGTCCAAGGTCAACCAGTGTTTGTTTACCTGTTGCTTGAGTGGATTAACATTCTGCTTCTCTGGAATCTTTATGATGAAATCTAGGTCTGTCTTCATTACCTAGTGTTGCTGTAATAGAAATACCACAGTGGGTGACTTTTCTTTCTTTCTTTTTTTTTTTTTAATGTTTTAATTAATTAATTATTTATTTTTTAGTGGGTGTCTTAGTTATCTAGTGCTGCTATAACAGAAATACCACAAGTGGATGGTTTTAACAAAGAGAAGTTTATTTCCTTACCGTAAAGTAGGCTAAAAGTCCACATTCACGGTGTCAGCTCCAGGGGAAGGCCTTCTCTCTCTCTTGGCCTTCTCATCAGTGTTCCCCGGGACTAGGAGCTTCTCGGCACAGGGATCCCGGTCCAAAGGACGCGCTCTGCTCCCAGCACTGCTTTCTTGATGGTATGAGGTCCCCAACTCTCTGCTTGCTTCCCTTTCCTTTTATCTCTTACAAGAGATAAAAGGTGGTGCAGGCCACACCCCAGGGAAACTCCCTTTACATTGGATCAGGGATGTGACCTGGGTTAAGGTGGTGTTACAATCCCACCCTAATCCTCTTTAACATAAAATTACAATCACAAAATGGAGGCCAGCCACACAGTTCTGGGAATCATGGCCCAGCCAAATTGATACACACATTTTTTGGGGGACACAATTCAAACCATGACAGTGGGTGACTTTAAAGAACAGAAATTTATTTTCTCACAGTTCTGGAGCCTACAAGTCCAAATCAGCATCTGGGCTGAGTTGATTCCTTCCTTGTCAGTAGCGTTGGGCATTTCTTGGTTCCTTTGCTTGTGGACTATCCTCCTACGGCATCTGTCTTCTACTCTGTGTGTCTCTGTGTCTAATCTTTTTTTTATAACTCAGAAGTTACTAGGTTTAGGACACACCCTACACTGATCTGTCCTCATTAACATAACGAAGAAAATCCTATTTCCAAACAGGATTACATCCACAATTATAGGGGTTAGGATTCCAACACATATTTTATGGGGACATAATTTAATCCATAATAAGGTTAGTGTTCTATAAACTGTAAGGTTTAACGTTTTCTTTCTTTTCTTCTTTCAGTCATACTTCCCATTGCGTCCAGCTGTTGCACCGAGGTTTCACATCATATTTCCAGAAGGCTTCTGGAAAGAGTGACTACGTGTCACATTCAGAGGGCTGATGGGGATTGTGACCTGGCTGCTGTCATGTGAGTGCCCTTCAGTAGGGGTGTCTAAACCTGCAATGACTATTTCTCCAGACAAGCAACAGTAGGTTGGGAGGACTTTGCCTGACACACCACATATCACCAATAATCAACCAAACGAGGGAGGGCAGAGGAAATAGTGCACCCAGGAGTGAATGCACAATCTCTCTACAGGGACGTCCAGAGCCCCACACTAGACCCTTCTCCCTTGTCATGGATTGAATTGTGTCCCCCCAAAATATCTGTCAGCTTAGCTAGGTCATGATTCTCAGTATTGTATGATTGTCTACTGTTGTAGGGGAAAAACATCACAAAGTTTAGTAAACCAAAAAGAAAGTTTTACTCAGAATATATTCAAAAGGGCAGAAGTGGGAAACGGACCAGAGCCATGTCTGCCCAAGTCCAGGGAAATATCACAGAACAGACAAAAGTGGGAAAACGGACAAGCATGCTGACAGAACAGGCAAGAATGGGAAAACGGATAAGCATGCTGCCACAACCATGTCTGCTGGAGTCCAAAGAATATTACAGAATAGGCAAGAGTGGGGAAACAGACAAGCATGCTGCCACAGCCATGTCTGCCTGAGTCCAAAGAACAGTTACAGAGCCATCAATATATATTAACATTACAAATGGGCAAAACCATTGAAAGCTTCACCTTTTCAGATTGGCTAGAAACTGTGATCCTACATTTTGAATCGTCCTTCTTAACAATCATTGGTACAAGTTTCAGTAACGAGAATCAGGAGGGTCTTCATAGGTCCAACAAATTTCTATTCACTAAATGCTAACAGAAAAAGATAAGAGTAGAGAGTCTTTTGTGTGCTGTTTGATGTGAAAGTTTTCCTAAAAGATATTTTCCAAGATTATCTTAGCTATTGTCTTTATACCTCGGGGCCCAGTTCATGTGTCCTTGTGAGTCCTTGTGAGCCCGGCTCCAACTGGATCATATTCTCTACACTCAAGGAGAGGGAATAAATGGTTCTAATATTATTTCCTAAATAACTACCATTTTGTCATCTGATGTGATTTTCCTATGTGTTGTAAATCCTGTCACTATGATGGAATGAGATGGATTAGTGGTGGTTATACTGATGAGATCTACAAGATTAGATATTATAAAAAGATATTATATCATTTGAGATATAAAAGAGAGAAGCAAGCAGAGAGACATGGGGACCTCATACCACCAAGAAAGCAGTGCCGGGAGCAGAGCACGTCCTTTGGACCTGAGGTTCCTGCGCTGAGATGCTCCTAGACCAAGGGAAGACTGATGACAAGGACCCTCCTCCAGAGCCAATAGAGAGAGAAAGCCTTTCCCTGGAGCCAGTGCCCTAAATTCAGATTTCTAGCCTACTGGACTGTGAGAGAATAAACTTCTCTTTGTTAAAGCCATCCACTTGTGGTATTTCTATTACAGAAGCACTAGATAACTAAGACATCCCTCAATGCAGAACCTGGTAAGAGCTAAGTGCTCTCGGGCACCAGAAAATGTTAATGACTTTCCTAAGCAAAACAAGGAAGCCTCAGAGTGAAAAAAGAAAGCAAAGATGACTTTGTTCTGTTTCATGGCTTTAACTTTTCCCAGGCAAATATGTGGATTGCTATCATTTTATTCTCTGACTTCATCAGGAGCATATTATAAGGCTCAAAAGAAGGGTAAGAATGTCTGCACCTGGCACAAGTGGTACATTCAATCCAAGCACACATTCAGTCCTTTTTTGCATTTGATTCTGGGTCTTGGCTTATTGTGAAAGTCTCCCACCGCTACCCCAGCTCCATTGAGGCTCTCAAATATGGGGCACATTGGCATTTAGCAAATCATTGAATTCTGATAACAATGCTGTGAGGTAGGCATAAGTGATCTCTGTGCCACATAGGAAAAAGCTATTTCACATAGGAGAAATCACATAGCTCACCTGGTGTCACACAGCTAATGAGTGACAGAAATAGAATGTGAACCCCGGTGTCTCAGTTCAGAACACTGTATACCTCTAAGGTCTCTCAGAATTGATGGTGGGACTAACCATAAAACCCTCTCCCAAAACTCCATTGCTTTAGGCACCTTCAAATCATATTGGACATCTCCATGGTGTGCTGATTTTAACACTTTAACAGTTGATGCCCCTTTCTTTGGACTGCAAATAAGCCCATGCTTATGCCTGAGCTCCTGGAGTCATTTGGGAGCCTTGTTTATTGAAATGTTGCCGGGCAGAACCTCAGGTTCTGCTCAGGGTCTCAGCTAATAAATGAGAGACTGTGGTGAGAGTAGAAAGGCACCTTTATTTTGTTGCACAAGGAAAGGAACAATTGGGGCTGCTGCTGCCAAGACTGCTCATCAAGGGTGAGGGGGAAGGTTACTTTTAAGGGGTTTACAAGTAGGAAGTTCATACAAGTTACACCAGAAACATTCTTAATCATACTATGCAGGAGCAAGGAGGTTTACATATAACTATGCATCACATGTTCAGAAGATGGGAGTTAAACTCCACCCAGAGGTGGGGAAGTTACTGTGTATGAGGTATTTAATAAGCTAAAAGGTATACTGAACGTCAGCGTGGTGCTTAAACTGGTTTCTGTCAATTTTCTCTAGTTTTGGGAAGCAGTTAAGGGGAGGGGAACCAGGATTTTAATGTAAAGTTACAGGGCATTCCAAGCAAGCTGCTTGAGGCAGTGGACTTTTTCACAGCCTGGGGGCCTCTGTCTCACATTCAGTTAATTCAACGAATGTTTCTTGATCAATGACTATGTACCAACCACCTTTCTATGTGCTGGGAATGCAGCAGTGATAAAATAGAACCTGCCCTTCTGGAGTCTCCAGGGAACTCCTTATCCAGCTAGATTCTGCAGACTATTCCCTGAGATTTGAGATACATTTTTTTCCCTTTGAGAGGGACCTAAGACAAGGGTTCTTAGGAGTTCAGACAAAGAGTTTACTAGAGCTCCATGGATAGATTTGCTTCAAATTAGGGGGCTGTGAACCCCCTGAAATTTTTGTGTATGAATGTGTGAGCATTTTTCTGGAGAAAAGGTCCATAGGTTTTACAACATCTTCAGAAGTATCTCAGATCTAACAAAATTTAAAAACCACACTCGTGGTCACATGAGTTGCTGGAGAGGGAGACAATTCCTGGTCCAAACGTTTAGTAAACATCCATGTCTGTGGGAGAAGGGAGAAGATTTAGAACTCTCTCACAGTGTCCTCAGACTTGGGTGGGTTAGTCATTGGGAACCAGTGCAACCTGCAGAAATTTGAGGTATATGCAACTAATGATGTGCCTTCTGAGGGGTACCTTGAATGCCCAGCTTCTCTGAAAAAAGCTCCCTTAGTATATGCCTAGTTCAGTTTCTGCAAGTCTTTTATTTAGTCTTAATAGTCTTGATAATAGTTGGAGAGTGAATAGCCAGTTCATGGATAGACAACGCTCAAAGTAATCGGGAACAACTGGATATCTGTGTCACGCTGACATAGCTGAACTACATCTTCCTGAGGTTACCCTGGCTGCTCTCAGGAACACCAAGTCCTCGCATCTTCTCAGTTCCTTTCACTTCACTGCCCTGTGTCCTCCCAGACTAAAGGGGGCTTCAGAGCTCATCAGGGGTCCTGTGGGACGCCCAGGGAGGTGTGGGGAAAGAACCAGAAGTTTCTGTGTGTGTATAAGAGAAAGAGATTCTGAGGATTATAAAGGGAACTCTACTGGTAATAGAATTTTCACAGAAGTTTCTTCGCAATAAGCAGGTGGGAAGTAGATATGTAAAAGATACAGGAACAGAAATGTTCCAAGCCCTCACTTTGATAAGGGAGAATAAGGTGAGAAACACAAGTCTTCATTTAAAAAAAAACTCAATTTTAATTAAATGTAAACGATGAAGCCAATCACTTGGACCTAAAACTACTTAGTTTATTCAACCACAAGTTTATAAATTAACCTCTTTGTGCTGACAAGAGAGCTGAAAAATATAGAGCATTTGTGATCCTGGTCTCAAGATTAAATTTGACTATGTAGTGTTTTTCTTATCATAAATAACAGATCCTATCTGTTGTGTTTCCAGTTTCTTGACATTCAACATAAATATAAAAGTTTTCTTGTTTTCAAATAGTTTCACTATAGAGCTCGCATGTCTTTACCTATCCAAAATGTAGTCCCTTAACCCTAAGTGTAAAGACTTTAATATTTGAGACAAGTGTTTTAGATTCAGAAAATATGGCTAGGATTGGAAATATAATTCCCAATAGCATTTTTTATCATTACTAGTTAATATAAATTAACTTAGAGTGAACTTACTAGATTTCTTTTGTTGCCTTCTGCTTAGAAATAGGTCCTTTGTTTCAAACACTATGAATGATCCTTGTAATTATTGATGTGTGACAGCAGTTTCCTTGTTTGAACCCCTCTACAGTGACTTCATTGAACATCTAGCTGCTTCTAAGCTGAAACACAATGCAAAGTTGTTTATCTTGTGCACAGGGCTGAGATGTCTTGAATGGTATAGACTTTATCTGTTGGGAGGAAAATGTGGGGTTATTAAATAAAGTCATTTCGGAGGCTTGAGTAGTTTTTCAAAAGTGGTTGTGAAGGGCTGTTGTGTTTCTTGCTTCCTGACGTTCAACATAAATATAAACGTTTTCTTGTTTTTAAATTGTTTTACTACAGAGCATACATGTGAACAAGTGAAGAAACAGATTTCAGGGAACAATCAGAGGTATAATCTCTATGGCAGGACCACTCCTTAGGTCCATCAGGCTGTCTCTGGCTACCCTCATGTGGAAAAAAGAATCAGGCGGTTAGCCTCATGGTTTCTCAGAAGTCAAAACTCCTCTCCGTAATGTGGTCAGAGGTTTCCATTTAGTGGGACACAGAAATATTGTTATGTAGAGTCAGCAGGATTTAAGAGCTGAATAGCACCTGATGGGGAATTAAAAGCCATATCTTTTGTAACAAGAAATACTTCTAGTTACCAGACATTGTGATTGCAGCTCTAGGGTCCTGCCACCCCAGTGCAAATGAAAACAAATTCTGAGATGTGGTATAAAAAACACCAAACCAAACCTGTTGCCGTCGAGTCAATTCCAACTCATAGCGACCCTATAGGATAGAGTGGAACTGTCGCATAGCGTTTCCAAGGAGTGACCGGTGGATTGGAACTGCCTACCTTTAGAGCTACCTCTCAGCTTTAGAATTCAGTCTCTAAGAATACACCGAGTCCAAAAGCGGGAACTGTACGTAAGCCACTATGTTTTTTATTTTATTTGTGTTTTCTATTAGTAATTTTTTTGTTCCCTTTTTTGTCAGTCTTCATGTCAGGCGCAGAAGAATCTGTGTCAGCCCGCACAATCATACTATTAAGCGGTGGATGAAAGCACAAGCAGCCAAGAAAAATGCTAAGGGCAGCATTTGCCATAAGAAGAATCACCACAGCAAGAAGACCAGTAAAGGGGCACCGCAGGGGTCACATGAAACATACGGCCATAGAACGCCTTATTAGAGAGCTTACAAATTAATCTACAGTGGTGGTTCCTGAAGGAAACTTGGCCACAGCTGATTATAAATTTCCCATTTGTAATATTCCTTTTTGGAATCCAACAGGGCCAAACAAAATATTATTTTCTTTTAAAGGAACAATTATACAGTATGCAAACATAACTAATAATATACTCAACTGAAAAATGAAATGGAAAGATAATACTTATCATCAGATAATATTTTAAAAGGACTATGTTAACATAATTCTCCCAATTTTTTATTATGTATTTTCCCCAAACCTACAGAAAAGTTGAAAGAATGGGACAATGAACACCTGTATACCTTTCATCCAGATTAATCATTGTTGATATCTTGCCACGTTTGCTTTGTCTCTGTATGTGTGTATATACAAATATATAAAAAATATTATATACATATATATTTTTTTCTGAACCATTTGAAAATAAGTTACAAACGTTATGACACTTTACCACTAAATTGTTTTTAGTGTTATAACTTGGCATCCCCTAAGAATTAGAACATTTTCCTACATAATCCCATTAACAGTTTTACACATAAAAATTAAAAATAATTCAATATAATAGATACATAGTCCATATTAAAATTTCCCAGCTGTTTCCAGAGCATTTTATATAGTTAGTTTTTTCTTTTTCCCCCAATCCAGGAACCAGTCAACGTTTACACTTCTCATTCAATTGCTGTATCTCTTTAATATCTTCTTTTTTCCTTACTTTCTTTCCATGGCAAGGACATTCTTAAAAGAGTCTGGCCTGGAATCTGTTTCACATTCTGGGTTTGTCTGAGGTTCAGGGTTAATATTTTTTGGCAAAAATTCTTCCTATATGAATTTGTGTTCTTATTGCTTTACATTTGGAGGCTAGAGTTCATTTTCTAGACAGAAAATTTTAAGCTGAATATCATGTTAAAAAGTTTGAGTAGATTGTTGTTCTTGTTAGGTGCCCTTGAGTTGGTTCAGACTCATAGCGACCCTACGTACAACAGACCAAACACTGCCAAGTCCTGCGCCATCTTCACAATCGTTTGTTACGCTTGAGCCCATTGTTGTAGCCACTGTTGTCAATCCATCTTGTCAAGGGTCTTCCTCTTTTGTGCTGACACTCTACCAAGCATGATGTCCTTCTTCAGGAACTGATTCCTCCCGATAATATGTCCAGAGTACGTGAGAAGAAGTCTCACCATCCTCACTTCTAAGGAGCATTCTGGCTGTACTTCTTCCAAGACAGATTTGTTCATTCTTCTGGCAGTCCATGGTCCATTCAATATTCTTTGCCAACACCATAATTCAAAGGCATTGACTCTTCTCCAGTCTTCCTTATTCATTATCAAGCTTTCACATGCATATGAGGTGATTGAAAATACCATGGCTTGGGTCAGGAGCACCTTAGTCCTCAAAGTGACATCTTTGGTTTTTAACACTTTAAAAAGGTCTTTTGCAGCAAGCAGATTTGCCCACTACAATATGTTCAGCTTTTTTCCTTCATCATTTCTTCCATTTGCTTTAGCTACTCTATGTTCAAGAGCAAGTTCCAGAGTTTCTTCTGACATCCATTTTGTTTTTTCCTTTATTTCATGTCTTTTTAATGATCTTTTGCTTTCTTCATGTATGATGTCCTTCCATAACTAGTCTGGTCTTTGGTCATTAATGTTCAGTGTGTCAGATCTATTCTTGAGATGGTCTAAATTCAGGTGGAATATACTCAAGGTCATACTTTAGCTCTTGTGGACTTGTTTGAATTTTCTTCAGTTTCAGCTTGAGCGTGCATGTAAGTAATTGATGGTTTGTTCTGTAGTCGGTCCCTGACCTTGTTCCGACTGATGATATTGAGCTTCTACATCGTGTCTTTCCACAGGTGTAGTCAATTTGATTCCTGTGTATTCCATCTGATAAGGTCCAGTGTATAGTCGACATTTATGTTGCTGAAAAAAGATATTTCTAGTGAATAGGTCATTGGTCTTGCAAAGTTCTAGCATGTGATCTATGGCATTGTTTCTATCACCAAGGCCATATTTTCTAGCTTATCAATCCTTCTTCTTTGTTTCCAACTTTTACATTCCAATCACCAGTAATTATTAATGCATCTTGATTGCATGTTTGAACAATTTTAGACTGTAGAAGTTGGTAAAAATCTTCAATTTCTTCATCTTTGGCCTTAGTGATTGGTGCTTAAATTTGAATAATAGTCATATTAACTGGTCTTCTTTGTGGACATACGGCTATTATCCTAGCACTGACAGCATTGTACTTCAGGATAGATCTTGAAATGCTCTTTTTGATAATTTGTCATTCCTGGCAGAGTAGACCATATGATTGTCTGATTCAAAATGGCTAATATCAGTCCATTTCAGCTCACTAATGCCTAGGATATCTATCTTCAAGTGTTCCGCTTCATTTTTGACAACTTCCAATTTTTCTAGATTCATACTTCATACTTTTCAAATTCTGATTATTAATGGATGTTTGCAGCTGTTTCTTCTCATTTTGAGTCATGCCACATGAGCAGATGAAGGTTCTGAAAGCTTTACTCCAACCACATCATTAAGTCAGCTCTGGAGAAGGACATCATTCTTGGTAGAGCAGAGGGTCAGTGAAAAAGAGGAAGACTATCAACAAAATGGATTGACACAGTCAGTGGCTGCAACAATGGGCTCAAGCATAACAACGATTCTGAGGATGGCACAGGACCGGGCAGTGTTTTGTTCTGCTGTACATGGGGTTACTATAAGTCAGAACTGACTCGATGACAGTCAGCAACAACAACAATAACAACTTTTGGGAGACAGCTCTTCCCTTTCGTATTTTGAGTGCGATCCAACCTAAGGGGTCATCCTCCGGCACTATATCGGGCAAGTTTTGCTGTTATTCATAAGGTTTTCACTGCCCAGTTTTTTTAGAAGTAGATCACCAGATCCTTCTTCCTAGTCTGTCTTAGTCTGGAAGCTCCCCTGAAACCTGCCCACCACGGGTGACCTTGCTGGTATTTGAAATACCAGTAGCATAGCTTCCAGCATCACAGCAACACGCAAGCCACCACAATACACAGTTGAGTAAATACTGTTGTTTAAATTGATAAATTCTGATGCTGAAAAAAATATCTGCTTTACTTGCTGGAGCATCCCCTTAGAACCATGTGCCTCCACGGTCAGTTCTTGGAGGAGCATTAGCCCTGTGTAGGGTGATTTTACACTTTCCCTAGACAAAGTCTACATGTTTTATTTTTTTTAATTGTGGCTATCTTAGTTATCTAGTGCTGTTATAACAGAAATACCACAAGTGGTGGCTTTAAATAACAGAAATTTGTTTTCTCACAGTTTAGGAGGCTAGAAGTCCAAATTTATGGTACTGGCTCTAGGGGAAGACTCTCTCTCTCTGTCTACTCTGGGGAAGGCCCTTGTCTCTTTTCAGCTTCTATTCTTAGGTTCCTTGGTGATCATGTGGCATGTATCTTCCCTCTGTTTGTGCTTGCTTACTTAATCTGCTCTTTATGTCTCAAAAAAAATTTGAGTTAAGACATACCCTACACTAATACTGCCTCATTAACATATCAAAGAAAACCTGTTCCCAAATAACTGCAGGTATAAACCAAGAAAACCAAACCCATTGCTGTCATAGCAACAGGTATGGGGGTCAGGATTTACAACACATATTTTCAAGGGGAAACAATTCAATAATAACGGTTGCAAGATATATGTAACGTGAAATTTGCCATCTTAACCGTTTTTAAGTATACAATTCAAAATTATTTACATTAATTACATTCATAATATTGTACAACCATCACCACTATCCCAAAACTTTGTCATCACCCCAAACAGAAACTCAGTGCCCATTAATCAATAACGCCCATTCCCTCCTCCCCTCAGCCCCTGGTAACCACTAATCTACCTTTGTCTCTATGCATTTGCCTATTCTAGATATTTCACATAAATGGAATTGTACAATACTTGTCGTTTGGTGTCTGACTTATTTCACTTAGCATAATGTTTTCAAGGTTCATCCATGTTGTAGTATGTATCAGAACTTAATTTCTCTCTATAGTTCAATAATGTTCCATGGTATGTATAGACCATATTTTGTTTATCCATTCATCTGTTGATGGACACTTAGCTTTTTTCCACCTTTTGTCTAGTGTAAATAGTGCTGCAATAAACATTGATGTACATGTATCTGTTTGAGTCCCTGCTTTCAGTTTTTCTGGGTGCGTACCTAGGAGTGGAATTGTTGGGTCATACAGTACATCTGTGTTTAACTTTTTGAGGAACTGCCAAACAACATCTTTTAACTCTTAATGTAACTTTCTCACACATTGTAAGTTGGTTCCAGTGTGCAGTCTCCTCTCTTGGCTTCCTTTCATCTACAGAGGCTTACACATATGTAGTAAAAGCACAGTTTTCATAAACAGCTGTCAGAAGGCAGGAGCCCAGTGTCTGCTTTGTCAGTTGTCGTGTGTTCTAGGCCTCCCTGCTTGGCAGTCCCAGGCAGGGGTGCTTCCAGGATGACTGGGAAGTGATAATGAGGTGCAGAGCCTAATGTGGGTTAAAATATCACTACATGACTTTGTCTAATAGCCCTCATTTATGCTAACTTAGCAGGTGGTTTATTTATTGTCATCAATAATCCTGCAAGCTTTGTTATTATTTCCACTTAATGGATGAGCAAACCTGAGGCTCGTAGAGGTCACATGACTTGCCCAAGGTCACACAGTAAGTAGCAGAGACAATTCTTATACCTAGATTGCCTGACTCATCCCATTGTTCTTCCCAGTTCTCTTATCAGCCACAGCGGTGGAACTGAAGTGTGGACATGAAGGTAGGACAGAAGGAGAGACATTCAGATAAAGATCTCTATATTTGCACTTCACAAAGGACTAGGTGATGCATGTGGCATTTTTATTTGAAAGTCTAGCATCAAAACATACTGCCACTGGCATTGTTTGCACCAGTACAGGCAATAACAATCCTCATAGATTAAAACAGGCCCCCACGTGATTTTATTGAACTTCACATACTTAGGCAATGGAGGAAACTGTACACTATTTATAGCCTTTGAGTGGAAAAATGTCCCTCACAGGGTCTTCTTTTCAACTTAAGGACACATTTGTCAAAAAATACAGCATTCTTCCACTTAATAAATCTGCAAGTTTTTAATTAATTGGTCAAGATAACCAACATCAATGAATAGTTAAGATAAAAAAAATTGATCTGATTACTGAATGTTTTGATCAAAGATTCTATAGAAGAATTCTGATCAAAAGGGGGAAAATGCAGAAGAAAATTTCAAATTCGTATGGAATGTGTACTTTCTGGAGCCACTGAGGCTGGATGAACCCATGAAATTATTGCTCTGAGATAATCTTTAAACCTTAAACCAAAAATATCCCCTGACATTTTCTTTAAACCAAACAATTGTTGTTGCTGGTAGGTGCGGTCGAATCAGTTCGGACCCATAGCAACCCTATAAATAGAATGAAAAGTTGCCAGTCCTGCACCATCCTCACAATCATTGCTATGTTTGAGCCTATAGTTTAGCTTAATTAGTAAACAAAGTCTGCCTTGAGCATTGTGTTCTTTTAAGAACTATCTCTATGGGATCAAATTGACAACAGCAACTCTAAAGAGTAAATAGGAAACTTAAGGGACAGTGAGTTTATTTTAATAGGGGAAGAACAATTCAGAAAAGGAGGGTGAGAATGGTTACACAACTTGAAGAATGTAATCAACGTCACTGAATTGTACATGTAGAAATTGTTGAATTGGTGTATGTTCTGTGGTGTATATTCTTGACGACAACAACAAAAATAATTTTTTTTAATGTAACTATAATTTTAAAAAATGAGGGTGGTAATCTGTTTCATTAGATGAAAGAAGTCAGATTCCTGACCGTACTTTGAGAACAGAAGGAAACAAACAAAA